ATCATTTCGTACATGTTCTGTTTTTAAGGGAAAAAAACACTTTCTGATTTTCTATGAAATTCTCTGAAAGACTGCTTTTCAGCCGTGACTCACGAACTCCGTCTCGTCGCAGCAAGTTAGGTATTTATCCCCAGATGTCTGACGACACCTCCAGGTGCCTTGGCACGTCTGTCGCACAAGCGTCCTATTCATCGGCTAAGGCTTCGCTCCGCTTGTTGGATGTTCTCAGTAAAGCAATATACCCTTTCTTTGGAAGCCAATATTTATACATGGGGTGACTAACGGACTGGTGGTATGTTGGACTTCGCAATTAACAGACCAGAAATAACCCGATTCCCCCCCCCCCCGCCACCCCGGGTTGCAGTTCATCGTTTACACGGTACGTTATGCCACTCAGGGAAAGCACGTCGAAGAATGTTCCTTTGCCCTAATATTCACTGTTTCCTTAAATCTTCCAATTTTGAGCCTCTCGGGCATAAGGGGGGAAATGGACATTAGCAAGAACTACGTGAGAAAATCCATATAAAAACAAAAGCAAAGTTATTGAGTACAAATTGAATCTTCTCTAATGAGACGTTTCTCCGATGTGTACGTGATGACATCAAAGCCAAAACTTCTTTTTGAGATACTGAGGTTTATGTAGGCACCTCTTAGCATGTTGGATGTAGTTCAGGAATTTTCTGAAAGAGGAAGCTTACTTACTAAGTGAGGAATGATGTGTCTTTTGAAGCAGGCATGGCAAGAAAGTCAGTCTACCATCTTGGAATCCATCTTTAAAATGCGATCAGCCAGTCACATTTCCAGCCACATTTGAACCCACTACATCTCTAAAGGACTGAGGGTCGGACATCGGTCCCTTAGGGTGGCAGGAGCTGGGCCCCGGTTTTTAAAAACAAATATTTGTTATAAAATGCTTTGAACGAAAGAGGTTTTAGGAGCTTAGTGGCGGTGACTTACCTCCCCCCGCCCATCTGTCCATCCACAGCCCCAGTGTGTGACTAGTGGACACGAGGCGGGCAGGGCCCCTGGGACTCCTGGGGTATTGGCAAACTTCTTCTGTGCTAGAGAAACCTCATTCCTGCCTCCGGATGCGGGTCACACCTCGGAGGCTAAGATCAGCCCCAGAGCTGCCGGAGGGCAGGGGCGGGCAGAGGGCTGCAAGGGAGGGAAGTCACTTTGTATCCAGTGCCCCGCGTGATGACTGATGAGGCGCCCTTTCCCAGATAACGGCGGCAGGTCCGGGGAAGCAGATCTGGAAGTTTGGGGAGGTTAGAAGGCTTCGGATTTCAGGTCCTTAGAACTGGGTAAGGGGATAAGAAAAAAAAAAAAAAAAAAAAAGGATCCCCTAAGAGATAAATGCCTTAAGTATATGCTAATTCAGTAAGATTAAGGAGAGCCCCGAAGAAGAGCTAAGACGGTAGCTTCATTTCTCTCCGTTCTGTGATTTCTAACAAAGGGAGGCACCAAGCGTTTCTGGTGAAGTCCGAGTTTCCCTGTGGCTCGTTTTCGTGGAGCCCCCACACCAGAGCCCTGGCTTTGTCTTTGAGGAACCTCTGTGTGTCCCAGCATTGTCACCGGTGGGCTGCTTTCCCAGGGTCGTTAGCTGCTCCGAAGCTGAGCAGCAACAGGATGTCTTGCTTCACGTGGAGTTTTGACACGGGAGCGGTCTCGTCAGCAGGAATGTTCCACGGCAGCTTCCTCCTGAGCATGCTGCCGTGAAGGCTCGAAACCGTTTGGGACCCAGGAATCCTAAGTTTAGAAAAACATTGAGGTAAGCCAATTCAGGTTATCCGGAGCTCGACTTCATTGGAATCGTTGCAAAAAAAAAATACTAAAGTTCATGAATTTGACATCGGCATTGTTAACATGCTTTAAGTGTTTCCAGCCTGTTTACTTATTAGGCAATAAAAGCCAACGTTCCTAGAAGTGCCTGTTTTGTCTTGACAAATAAGCGTTTCCACACACACGCGCGCACACGCACACACACATGAAAAAGGCTTGAGTCAACTGTGGAAACCAGCTCTAAGAGGATATGCCCTTTGAAATCTGACCATGTGGGTGCAGACTGTGGGTTTTAAGTGTGCAGCGCAGGGGGATAGAAGATGACCCTGGGTTTTCATGCTACAGAAAGAAAAAGTAATAATGCCTAAAAGCCAGGACTCGAAAACTCGAAGACGTGGGACTCTCCACAGCGGCACCATTAATTCGGGGTGACTTGTTAAATCTTCCTTTGGCTCGGTTCAGGACCCTGTCCTAAAGGGACCAGAGCGTGGTGAGCACCGGCATTGACAGGACTCCATTTGCAACACACTCTGGGGCTGGCGTGTTCATCTGGTGAGCCGTGGATTATTTCACCAGCTCACGCATAGAAACTCTGAGCGAGTCATGTTCTAGAACCATGAAAGTAACCAGGGAAGAACTTGGCATTGGTACAGGGACGGTTTTAAAGTGAGAAGGGCTTGGCAGGTGAGATCTCTCTGGTACCGTGAACCCAGAGTGGTTTTCCTTCTCCCCGAAGCTCCGAATACCTGAGCAGACCGCCCTGTGCTTTCCTGCTGGTGGTTGTCTGTTCGACAGTGAACCTGCATTCAGGCCGTAAAGCCAGGACTCCGACAGAGCACGGGACGGGACCCCCCCCCCCCCCCCCGGCAGGCGGAGCTCTGCATGGTGCTTTCGCGTAGAAACATTTGGAGGCCGTTTCCTCTTCGGAAGACGTCAAAAGATGATAGAAGGAGTCAGGCTCCAAGTTTGATTCTAAATAGAGACTTTGGTGAGGGAGGAGGAGGCATGTGCCAGTGTGGTCCAGGAAGATGGTCTCTGAAGGGCTAAGGCAGCCATGACTACTGGCCACGCAGGAAGCCAGTGCTGTCTAATCTTACAAATGCTGATTTCCTGGCAAATGGCCTTTAGGAGCCACTGATAATCTAATTTCCTGGCATTTCCTGTTACTGGAGATTGAGTTGGTTTCTCTACTCAGCTCTGAGCAAGAAAGCAGATCTTTGTTGAGGGCACAATTTCCATATGGAAAAGCTCATAAGACGAGGACTTTAGGTGCCATGTGGAAGAGCAGCAAGAATGAATGAAGGAGAGTGATTTTCAGCTGCTCTCCCTGTGAGGGGCACTTTTTCCTGTCTGCACAGAGGCTAATGGCTCTTTAAAAGCTGCCTTCGGTAAACAGTGTGCCGAACGTTCAAGGAGGCAGACCTCGGTCTCAACTGTGTCTCTACTTTTCCTCTCTAACCCGATTATGTAAAGGAACATCCCGGTTTTGTTTTTGGGGAGAAAGTGCCACTAAGGACCATTCTCTGGTCTCGATGACCCTCTGAACTGTGGCACAACTGTGTCAGGCAACTGTCTTTGCCCAAGAATGCCACCCACTCGCTTTCAGTCGTTCACTCCCTGGGGATGAGGCGGTCTGTGCAAGGGCCGGCCTGAGCAGGGGCTGCAGCTGGCCCAGAACATTCTGCCCATCCGTGGTGCGATCCTTTTTGTTTGGAGGCCAGCTTCCGAAATGTACCCAGTTCTGAGTGAGAGTTCACCAGCCCTGGCCAAGGCGGGCTCGGAGACGCAGGGTGTGGTTTCCTTAGCTCACTCTCTGCTATTTGGTTGTCTGTGGCAACGGGATCCAAACAACTCGGACATGTGTTTGTATAAAAAAAAACGGGAATGGGACCCAAAGTGGGAGTCTAGTGGAAGAGCCGCGGTGAGTACTGGGCAGCTGTTCGTTTGTCTCTGGATTTTGCTGGGCTATTTGCTAGCACAGTAACTGTGTTTGTGGGTGGTTGGAGAAAATTCTCTCCATTCTCGTGTTTCCTGCGCAAATTAAATAATTGCTATCTACTTACCCACGTATGGTTCTTTTTCGGGGGGAGCGGGGAAGGTTAGCGTATGTTTCAAGAAGTTGGGAGCTAATACAAATTCACAGTTGGTACCTTTTTGGTGGCAGGAGGAACAGAGTGCCTTAGCCGTGCTTGTGATTGCAGACGTTGTGGTCTGGGGTCTGGGGCAGGGAGGGTGTGGGGGGGCCGGGGGACAAGGGAAGTTGTTCCATATGAAGACAGTGGAAGGGGTTCTTGGAATGATCATGCTTAACGCTTTTTTTAAAAGCCTTTCTCTCTCAGCCCCAGCGTACTTTCATGTTGCAATTTTTTAAAACCGCAGATGTCCGAAGTTAGTAACACTTTGTTGACTCTCGAGCCTCACTTGCTCGAACAAAGGGGGGGGGGCGCCTTGATTTGGCGTGTCACAGAACGGCACATCACGGTGACAAGCGTTCACGGAATGCCATTGTGAGACGGCCTCTCTGGGGTGATGGCTCGGGCCTCGGGGTCCGGGACCTGTGTTGGGCGGAACTCTTTAGGATCCATTTGGGATTGAAAAGTGTTCTGCCAGATTTGTAGGATTAGATGCGGGCATTTTGGGCATTTTGAACCGATCCGTAAGGATTGCTCACGTGGCCCACGGGGAACTGACGCCTGCAGAGAGGAGGGAGCGGGGTCTGGGAGGAAGAGCCCGAGGCTGGCAGGGCCGCCGGGAGCTGAGCAGCGGCTGCAGGCGCCGCCGCCCGCTGCCTCCTCCCCGGGCTGCTGAGCGGCTTGGCTCCGGGAGCTGCCGCTGGCGCCGCGCCCAAGCCCTGCGTCCCTTGCCCTGAAAGCCCCTCTCTCTTGCCTCACTGCTCGAAGCCACCACACCTTTCCAGAAGCCCCAACCCGCTTGTCCCCTGCCCCCCAGCAGGACTTTCTCCCATGTCCCCGGGGACCCACCGGCCACGGACTCTGGCCCCCGGCAGGAAGGGCGCTGTTTCTCCCCAGGCTCCCAGTGAAGGACGTGCGGTCGCGGCACCCGTGGCCAGCCAGGCTCGGGCGGCAGCTGGGACCCGGCCTCCAGGCCCTGGTGGCACCGCGCAGCTGTCCCCCCCACCCCCCGGAGCCTCGGCGGCAGTGCGCGCCCCCCCCCCCGCCCCACGGGGCTCATTTGCGCTGCCCGCTTTGCCCCCGCAGGTCCCTCCAGCTACAAGGTGGGCACCATGACCGAGAAGTTCGACTGCCACTACTGCAGGGACTCCCTGCAGGGCAAGAAGTACGTGCAGAAGGATGGCCACCACTGCTGCCTGAAGTGCTTCGACAAGTTCTGCGCCAACACCTGTGTGGAGTGCCGGAAGCCCATCGGTGCCGACTCCAAGGTAACGCGGCTGGCGGGCGTGTGGCAGTGAGGGGGTGGAGGCCCTGGCTTCCCCCGCTCGTCCCCGGCTCTCCCCGCCCCTCTCCCCAGTCTGAGGGTCTCCAGAGGCCCTCGCTCGGGGGGGGCCCCCTCTCGGCGTCGCTCACGTGACTCACGAGAACATTCCCCACACGGCGTCCCAGGTGTGAGGGACCGTGTGCTCGCAGCAGTCCGCCCCGGGGATCTCGGGCTCTGACGGGACGTGGGAGGGCCCGCGCCCCCGCCCCCCGCAGCGTCTCCCCCCAGCGGCCCGTCCCCTTCTGCTTGGTCTCCAGGAGGTGCACTACAAGAACCGCTACTGGCATGACACCTGCTTCCGCTGTGCCAAGTGCCTTCACCCCTTGGCCAATGAGACCTTTGTGGCCAAGGACAACAAGATCCTGTGCAACAAGTGCACCACTCGGGAGGACTCCCCCAAGTGCAAGGGGTGCTTCAAGCCGATCGTGGCAGGTAGTGTCCCCTCTCCCCCCCCCCGCCCCACCCCCGGGCAGCCAGGGAGGAGGCCCCAAGGGCGGAGAGGGTGCTGGGGGCGCGCGGTGGTGGGGTGATGCTGCTGCGAGCCGCGCTTAGGTTTTAGCGTATATATGCACGCATATATATACACGTATATCTGCGTACACATATATGCTCGCACACACGCACACACTCGGCAGCTAAAGAACACTGGAGAGAGCGGTCTGTGGCAAGAGAAAGAAGTGAAAAGTATGTAGCGCTTTCTCATTTGGGTAGAGTGAGTGAGCAAAGCATGCGACCTCCTCAGGGTGGAATTCTGGGCCAGGTCAGGTCCGCCAAGGCCGTGGGGGGCGGGGCGGGGCTTCAGGCATTGAATCCTGGAACACCACCGCCAGGGTCCCCCCACCCCCCGACAGAAGCTGGGTCGGCAGCACCCCAGTAGGACGGTGGAGAGAGGCCCCCCGCGGGGAGGGTCTTTGGAAGCGTGAGGCCAACAACTGCAGGGCCTGCATTCCCTCCCCTCTGGAAGGCCCGGGCGGGGGGGAGTGGATGCAGCCCCCCCTGCAGGGCACCGTCAGTGGGGCTATTGGTCCTGCTTTCCCCCCCTCCCCCCCACCGCAGGAGATCAAAACGTGGAGTACAAGAAGACCGTCTGGCACAAAGACTGCTTCACTTGCAGCAACTGCAAGCAAGTCATCGGGACTGGAAGCTTCTTCCCTAAAGGGGAGGACTTCTACTGCGTGACTTGCCACGAGACCAAATTTGCCAAGCATTGCGTGAAGTGCAACAAGGTACGTTGTCAAGGGAGTTCTGCGCTGACTGTTGTTTCTAGAAGCGTTGGACAGTTTGCAGAGCACTTGCACACACACTGTCCCGTTCCATCCTCACGACAGCCCTGCGACGTAGGAATTCCTATTCTCGGGTTGCAGATGAGGAGACCGTGGCAGGAGAAAGCCGCGCCCGGGCCGCATCCGGCCGTCCAGGGGGGCGCGCTCACTCCGGAGGCACGGGTGGCCCCGGCTCGAGAGGCCTGCCTCCGCCTCCTAGTTGCCCTGCGGGACCTCACGCAGGGGCTCGCCTTCTCTGAGCCTCGGTGTCTTCATCTGTAACTCGGGGCTCCTAATCGCCCCTGCCTCCTGTGGCCGCTGTGGCGATGAAATGAGATAATGTATTACCAACGCGCCCAGCACAGTGCCCGGCACAGAGTACGCATTCAACAAAATGGTTGTTGAATCTGAATCCGGTGCTACGCTCCCTGGTCTAGGCCATCACATCTGGAGGAATCACTTACCAGGATCAGCCCTGGCATGCCGAGTGCTTTGTGTGTGTTACCTGCTCTAAGAAGCTGGCTGGGCAGCGCTTCACCGCTGTGGAGGACCAGTACTACTGCGTGGATTGCTACAAGAACTTTGTGGCCAAGAAGTGTGCTGGATGCAAGAACCCCATCACTGGTAGGCTAAAGAGTCCTTGCTAAGTCTGCCAGGCTAGGTTTTGCGCATGGTAACCATCTCTCATTTTCCTACGTCGTCGGTTTCATCCACAAAGGCCCCAGAGAGTGTCCTCTCCCCCTGCCATTGTGGTCCCGAAGGCCCCCCGGGGGGCCCCCCCCCGATAGTTTGGATTCTCCCTCAGGCCAGCTTAGCCTTTGCCATACAGAACACCTCCTGACTACTGCTGACTAACTAGTGACGCTGCCGGAGTTCACGAGCCTGAGACCCACGGCCACGGCCACGGGCAGGCAGGCACCGCACGCGCGCGC